ACACACACACACACACCACACGGCCAACTCATGACTAATCTCTCCATCCTGGTCTTGATCTTATGTCTGTCTCTCTCTCTATCTCCCTATCTTTCTCTGTCATATACACACACAAACAGACACACATTGTTTTAACATTGAGTGTCCATGAATTAATATCTGGTCACCCAGATACAGAGATTATCGATGTTACTATCATAGTCGACTTCAATGTTGGGTTGATGGTCTCATAAAGCAAAACTAGCTTTCGTAAAGTTTCCATCTTTACTTGTTAAATCTCTCAATCACACCCAAACTCTCATTTCCTCCATTAGTGCTCATGTCACGATAATAATCTCAAAACTCTAACATCAGTACCTTCAACTAAAAGAATGTTAATCATTTATTATTGTCATCCCGTTACTATCTTGCACATTTTCATCACCATACTTTGATTGGTTGTAAGTATGTTTACGTAGTTCTTTTTTTGTTGTTCCCAAAAACAACCAGCATTTAGATATTTCTTTGGTTGTTTTCAAAACAATCTTTAAGTCCACATTGGGTGTGAAAGATATTTTGCACCTGCACATTGTCATCACCCTACTTTGATTAGTTCTAAGTATGTTCATGTACTTCATTTTTTGTTTTCATGTTTGTTAACATTGTCTAGGAGTGAATGTTTGTTGCCTTTTTATTTTATTTTTATTTTATTCTATTTTTAGACACAATTATTTGCATAATACTCAGTTTCTTTTTAACCAACAGACCTTTGATTCAGTAATACTTTGTACCTTATAAAGACTTTGTCTTTTTTATACCTCACTAATGTTTGTGGATAGGTTGATTAGGGAGAGACTATTACCATGGGGATCACAAACCCCCATCCGAAAACAAAAATTAAAATATCCAAGTAACTCGAGAAGCATTTTTTTTTCTTAGTTGAATGGCGGTAGCCAAATCATGGAAATGAAACATTGACCCTGAAAAGGGTTCTATAGATCTTACTTAAATTTACGCTTTAATGAGGACAAGTTATGGCTCAATCAGATTGATTTAAGATCCATCAATTTAGTGATGATCCCAATTTCTTTATTAACGAGTCTTTGGTCCAATGATACTTCTTACTTTATAAAGGATTTACCTTCTTAAAATCAAGAGTTTATGACCCTTTTTTCCCTCCCCCTCCTCCAAAAAAAAAAAAATCAAATAAAAAAAGATTGATATTTTATTTTATTATGTTGGTACTTTCTTCGACACCATACAATTTCTCAAGATGCGCACACAAGAATATCAAGAAAAGAGATAAAAGGAACAGGAGAGAGAGGGGAACAAGAAGCACAAAAAGCAAAAATAAGAAATAGAGATGATAATAAAATTTCATCTTCATGTACACAAAAGTTTAAAGGCCTTGTAATTTTTGTGGTTTTTCAAAATTTCATCTTAANAACTGATGATGCACAAAAATGATTTTGCACACCACCTGTCAAGTATAGATAATAAATGCAATGAAATCAACGAAAGAATTAAAGAAGACACAATTTATAGTGGTTCGGTCAATTCGACTTACGTCCACTCTTCAATGGTTTCAGTCGCCGGGTATTTTATTGATTCAAAGGTATGGAGAATGGAGATACAAGCTTTGAGAGGGAGAATGGAGAATCAAAGAAAATAGTAATCTCCGGTAGTCGGTTCGTCTTCTGTAAGTCTCTGATGGAACATGTGTCTTCCTCTCCCAGATTAGAGCCATTTTATAGTAGCTAAGAGATCATTCTTGTGGAGATCATGACATATCCTCAAGGCTTCTTTATCGCAGNCACAAAAGTTTAAAGGCCTTGTAATTTTTGTGGTTTTTCAAAATTTCATCTTAATCACTCTTTGTTTTTAGGATTTAGAAGACGGATCTTGATGCGGTGATAATATTATTTCAAATTAAAAAAAATATTCATTTTTAAATATGTAATAATATTGTCCGTGTAATATAATGAAAATACAAACGAATTGGTTATGAGTTTGAAATTTGATAAAGTTTTTAAGGTTATACTAAGAGTAATTTATGTCTCATGTTTTTCTTAATTTTAGTATTAATGACTTATTTTTAATCAGATAAAAAAGAGATTAGTTGAGAATAACTGGTGCAAACATTTCTAACTCCAATACCAAAAAAAATAATGTAACTAATAATTGGAGACAGATCCACGTGGCTTGCTTTTATCTGATTGGGCACCTTACGTAAGATCCGAGAGGAGGGGGCACAATTTCATGTACGTCAGGTCAACGATACACGTGGCGTAATTCTAGACCCGGTCCCCCACCTAGGGCGTGAACCCCTCCAATCCAAATACTTTCCCGGATTTTACGCTTTCTTGGGAATCGCAATGCTTGCATTGTTGACCCCGCACGCCCACAAACTGTTTTGTATCGGTACGTGAATTTGTCTCCATTTTTCCATTCTCACCAACTATTTGCTTGAGTGGAAGACTTTAGTGTTTAGATTCACAAAAAGAGACTTTATAAACAACTACAATTTGGTTTATAAGAATTGACCACTTGGTAATTAATACAAATCTTAACAAAATTCTCTCTTTATATTATTAATTTACTAGAAAACTATCATCTAAGACACATTTGTATGTTTATATTTGTTTTTTTCAAAACGATAAACATGATAATAGTTAAAAGTGATAGTTTTGAGGGTTGCGTTTAGAGTGGTATTGAAAAATGATTGTGGGTGTATGCGAACATTGTGTTTCTAGGTGTTGTGTTTCTATGTGTCGTGGTACTATGTTTGGNAGTGATAGTTTTGAGGGTTGCGTTTAGAGTGGTATTGAAAAATGATTGTGGGTGTATGCGAACATTGTGTTTCTAGGTGTTGTGTTTCTATGTGTCGTGGTACTATGTTTGGGCATGATGGTAGTAAGTGTACGTGGGTATTATGTTGACATTTAGGGGGAGGGGGAGGGGTAATGCTAGGTAATGAGTGCAAAATTAGAGGAAGGGCTATGGTGAGGTGGAGTTTGGGTGCTTTTTTTTGGGGGGGTTGGGTGGAGAAGGGTTTGGTGCACTTGAGAGAAAAAAGGACTAATTCCGAGAAATAAAAATTTAAACAACTCTATTTTTGTGTTTATAAGTCATAAAGTTGTATTTGATCAGATTAAAGAGGGTACAATTGAGATGTGCGTAAGTTGACTTAAACTCTATGATCGTTAAATAAAAATTGAAATAATATGAGTCATCTTAGAGACCCATTTTCTTCTTGCCATGCCCCCCCCCCCAAAAAAAAAAAAAATAAAAAAAATTAAAACTAGCTTCAATCCCGGGTGTGGGCTTTGCTAAATATGTCTACCTGGTGCTTAATAAAATTAGTCCAAATCATGAAGAGAAATAAGCATAACAATACAGTTGCTTGCACTAAGGAAAAAACAGGACCTTATCAAAAATTCATGATTCATGATCCAGAATCCAGATCCTCTCTCTCTCTCTCTCTCTCTCTCTCTCCATCAATTCCTCTTTCTACATCTGTTCTCAAATAAAGCTTTCTCTGAAACAGTGTCTGAATTTGTCTCTCTGGGTCTGTCCAGAAAATATTTGCCAACTGTTTGAATTTTGATTCCCCTGCAAAAAATGTTTTTGTCTGTTTCTTCATCCATAGCCACAAACACGGAACAATTTCTGAATCAAAATCACCATCCATATCTTATCTGTCCTCCACTCTCCACTCTCTGTAAACTCATCCTTAACCCCTGTCCTCTTGCCGGCTCTGTAAATTTTTTCCGGCCACTTATTACCGGGTCTTTCAAAATGAGTCCGATGGTACACTACTGTTGCTTCCCAAAGAGGAGGCAGAAAAAGGTAGTTAGGTGGTCAATTCTCATAGCACTCAAAACCAAAACAATGCTGTGTTTGTGTAGATGTCTATCTCTCTTTTGTGATTTAACTTCAATTTGTATTTTTTTCAATGGTGTCTCATCCTTTTTTTTTGGTTATGGGGCCATTATTGCTTAATAATTTCATACAGAGAGGCCTATGGGCACAGATAGAGAAATGTCAGTTTGTCCAAATCACTCTCAAAGATAAAATTTGGTGAAATGACTTATGCTTTGGGTGGCTCTGGTGGTACTCATCCTATCCCCAACAAAAACTTGTGTTTTTTTGTGGAAATGTGCTCTGACTATACTTTCCTCTTTTCTATGTTTCAAAAGATTTGTCGAAGCCATTGTACCTAACCATTTTTTTTTTTTTTGGTTTTATCCTCAATGTACACCAATTCTCAATTTTATTTTTTAAGTTTACTTCTCAATGATTTTGTCTTTCAATTTTTGACAAGTTTCAATTCGATCGAATGAAGAACTTTCACGCACGAAAAAAAAAAAATACTTGACAAATAAGTCAAGTAATTAGGAATGATTTTGAGTTACCGTGCTGTTATTACAACAAAAAAGACACGTTTGAATCATGTGATGCAAACGAAAAAACCTACGTGTGTATATTGTCTTGTACACAAGCATTTTTTCGTAAAAAAAAAATTAGCCACTATATTAAATTACACTAGATTAAAACTTGTCAAAAAATTGAAAGATGAAACGGCTAGAAAGAAAATTTTAAGGGCCAATGTTGAAATAGAGGTAAACTCTAAGGACAAGAAGTGTAATGAAGCTTCAATTATTTACATGACCCATGAAGGAGGTGATTGGGAAAGCTCAACACATGAAACTTTTTCAAACACTTCTCTTTTACCACATTATTTGGGTTTTCGTTAATTAATCTACTTAATGGGAGGTTCTCTCAATGGGTTGAAGTTAAGGAAAAGTGACCAATAAACATAGAAAGAACAGCCTTCATTGATAAGACATGAACTGTTTTTGTACAGGGCTAATTAAAAGTCGTAACAACAGTTAAAAGAAAAAATTCAGCAAAAAACATAAAAATGGAGGGTTAAACCTGGAGGAATTTCAATGTCTAACTAAGATTGATTTCAAAAACAGTTTTTTTTTTTTTTTTTTGTGCTAAGAGGAGTCCAAATCCTTCAGTTCATGTTGGTCCATTGCTTATGGCCAGGAATCCATTTGGGGCACTTTGGACTAAAATAGCATGACATAATCCTGGAGTTCAAGAGCTCAACAATGGGTGCAAATTTCACGCACCGGGGTGTCTTGTACTGGTTAATTGAGGCACCTAAGCTAATGGCATAGTCCATGAGCTTATCAAACGTCCCGGTTTCGACAATCCTGATCTCCAGAGGGCCGATTGACTTGTCGGAAACACGGCCTTGGCGGTACACACTGTTGAGGGACTCTTCGATGGTGAGGCAACAGTCCTTGAAAACCGAAGGAGGAATTGGTGTTGAGCCATTGGTTCTAAGCTCCCAGTAGAGGACATAGTGGCCTGGGATTGTTGAAGTGTCTGCATAGCTCGAGTATTCTGTAAGTGTTACATCAAAGGGCATGAGATGGTTCAGGGCATTCTTCACAGCATTTTGAAGCTCAACCTCATCGGTTTTGTCCGAATCAATGCTCAGAACAACATTTTTTCTGCAAATGAAGTTGAACTGAGGGGCCTTGTTTTTGAATCCAGCAACTCTTAGCACATCGCCAACCCGATACCGATAAAGTCCTGCAAGAGAACCAATACCAACAGTTCGGATAAGTATAAATGATGATAAACATATACCATGAATTTTTCTCGAATACCTTGAACTAAATTTTACCGGCATAAGTGGTGATAACAAGCTCATATTCTTGACCAAGCTTCACATCAACAAGATCAACCAACTCTTGCTGTTCTTTCTCACTCAGAGATTTTGGCATATTGATAGAGGTGGTGACACCATTGTTTCTATGAACTGGTAAGAACTCAAAATAGGCCATGGTGGGAATGAGGGTATAAGAGACATCACTAGGCTTGCAAAGAGGGTTCAGATTGACACCAAAATAACACTCTGAGGAGGCATACATTGTACACACAAGAGGAAGGCCATTGCTATAGTAATCAAGGGTCGGTATGTATTGTGACATAGTACCTGTCACAATAACATCCACATACTTGGTGTTAGGCCACAACCTCGTTATAATCCCCTGCGATGACCCCTTCCTACATTCAGCCTCAATGAAATCTGCTAATTTTGGGTCGGGTTTGAGGATTTTCATCACGGCCTCCCTAACCGATGGGTCAGTAATTAGGGGGTTAATTAAACCGGTTCTGATATCGTTACAGAGAAGGGTCCAGTGCTTTTCGAGGAACTTGATTGCCCGAATGAACCCGGAGGCAAAAACGGCACCAACCCGAAGGACTTCCTTGTTTAGGCAGAGGCCACAGAGCATTTGGGAATACATGCTTTGGTATGAATCTGGGCAAAGAATGGTTTCATTTGGGCTAGTGTAGTTTGTGTAGGGGTCATAAGGCCTTTCCTTAAAATGTGAGCTTTTGTAGTAACTAGTGAGAACAGGACGGGCCACTAGCCCACCAGGCGTCTTAGCCTCAGATTTTATGAACAAGAAATACATTCCTTTGCCTTTGTCCAAACCAGGAACAGATTGGTTCATCACAGGCATCAAAAGGCTATAAAGCAATGATCTCCTCTCCAGCTCTTCTTCAATGGAAGGCATCAATTTTCTCTCTCCTCCAGATGTACCAGAACTGCACATCAAAAGTCAAAACCAAACAAACCATTAAGCCAAACAACTAAAAACTATAAACAAGACCACAACACCTCTAACAGGCAGCCCACAACACGAGACTCGTGCACTGTTAAGGTAGTGGTAAAATTGTGATTTAGACGTCAAGGGTTCTTAGCTTTTTTGTAGGATTGGTACACACCTTGTTAAGAACTCTGAAATGGGTAGTGAGGAGAGGATAGGAGACTTGTCCCCATTGGCTATACGATTGATATCAGCCTGAATGTCTTCATAAGTTATCACAGGCATGATTTTCTTGAAAATCTCTCTATCAGTATACCCACCGAGGCCATGGCGTTCTAAGTACTCCACATGGGCATTACGAGAGAGGATTTCAGCAAGAACTTTCTTTTGGACTTCATCAGCTTTTATGGTGACATCTTCAATGAATTGAAGAACCTTCTTGTTCCTCTCTAAAGGACTATATTCTGTGGCCTTAGGTGTGTTCTTTGGAGCCTCAGGCATGGCTTTTGCTCTGTAACAGAGATGTATGCAAAGTGTGTGTGTGTGTGAGAGAGAGAGAGAGAGAGAGAGAGATGGTTTTGGGTGTGCGGAGAAGAAGAGAGAAGGATGATTATATAGAGGAAACCATGGTGTGTGTGGTCCAACTTTTGTAGCGTTTAAAAGTGCAGAGAAAGAAACATTAGAAATGGATGGCTTGATTGTAATATACATAATGCTTTCATGGCATTTTTGTTTTCCATTCTTTTATGCCCAANTGACATCTTCAATGAATTGAAGAACCTTCTTGTTCCTCTCTAAAAGACTATATTCTGTGGCCTTAGGTGTGTTCTTTGGAGCCTCAGGCATGGCTTTTGCTCTGTAACAGAGATGTATGCAAATTGTGTGTGTGTGTGTGAGAGAGAGAGAGAGAGAGAGAGATGGTTTTGGGGTGTGCGGAGAAGAAGAGAGAAGGATGATTATATAGAGGAAACCATGGTGTGTGTGGTCCAACTTTTGCAGCGTTTAAAAGTGCAGAGAAAGAAACATTAGAAATGGATGGCTTGATTGTAATATACATAATGCCTTCATGGCATTTTTGTTTTCCATTCTTTTATGCCCAAAAAAAGACATAAAATTTCCAAGTTTCCAGTTATATGCTTGTGACAATTCGGGTAAAGTCTTAAGTACTCGTGTTAACCTCTAATTATTTAGCCTTTTCTAAGCCTAATTATTTTTTCAAAATACTTATCCTTGTATTATTAGAATTAGAATAAAATCTACAACACTTTTTTTTCATCAAAATTCCATTATGACTCTTAAATTTGCTAATCTTACCGTAATACAAACATAAAAAAAGGGTTTAAACTCTGCCTTGTTATTGTTGTAACAAATAAAATTGAATTTACAAATCGGGTTAGTCTGGATGAGACCGAGCTTAGTCAGGGCAGTTCACAATTTATTTTCTGAAGGAGCTATTAAGCTTTCGGTTTGAATTTAAATTGAATTACCCTTATTCTGAAATAAGTCATTCACATTTTTACCAATTCCGATCTACCTCTTTTTTGTTCCTTCTTACATCTTAGATTGATATGGAATTTTATNTTATTGTTGTAACAAATAAAATTGAATTTACAAATCGGGTTAGTCTGGATGAGACCTAGCTTAGTCAGGGCAGTTCACAATTTATTTTCTGAAGGAGCTATTAAGCTTTCGGTTTGAATTTAAATTGAATTACCCTTATTCCGAAATAAGTCATTTACATTTTTACCAATTCCGATCTACCTCTTTTTTGTTCCTTCTTACATCTTAGATTGATATGAAATTTTGTNGATTGATATGGAATTTTATAGAACATATTCAAAGTCCTAAAATTTTGAAGTTAATTTGGTAGAAGGCTATTTAAGGAACGTTTATTATAATTTAAGGTCTTGTGCATTTTCGTTTTGACCTTAAGTTCTTCTCATTGGTCAAACTAATTTATAAAAACACTTCATGAAACCGCCCATTACTTTACCGACCATTTAAATGTATTCATACGCCAACTAACCCATTTAAATATTTTCTTCAATGTTTTTGTCAAGTTATTTTTAGTCCTAGGAAGTTGTGATGGCTTGCTTCCATCCTCTTCAGAGGATAAAAATATTTCATACATTAATAATAGAACAATGTTAAACAACTCAAATTTGAGATCTCAAATAGCATCTCAAATTGGATCAGTGATTTCCATTTAAAAAAGTTGGTGAGACCTACTCATCTAATAGTTCCCGTTTANATGGCTTGCTTCCATCCTCTTCAGAGGATAAAAATATTTCATACATTAATAATAGAGCAATGTTAAACAACTCAAATTTGAGATCTCAAATAGCATCTCAAATTGGATCAGTGATTTCTATTTAAAAAAGTTGGTGAGACCTACTCATCTAATAGTTCCCGTTCATTTATATACAAATTTGAGTTACATAATATTTTTTTAAATAATATCATGTCATCAGTGTTATGTGGTATTTATCATGTTATTATTATTTTGTGTGTCATTATTCACTTATGTTTTGTTTGGAATGAAACAAAAATAGGAAGAATAAAAAAATAGATAGACGAGCTTTCTTTGTAACTCACTAAAATCAATCCTTTCAAAATTAAAAGAAAAGTTGATGGAAAGTCTGGTTAAAAACAGACTATCCACACCTAGTCTAAAATATTAATGAAAAATAAATCTCTCATAACTTGACCTCAAGGTGTTATCAAAATTTGAATTTAAGACGTTAAATTTTATATATCGTCTCTCTTATCATTTACTCCATCTATTCCTAAATATCTGTCGTTTAAGATTTTTGCACAGGAATTAAGGAAATTATTAAATAGTTCTAATATGAGTAAAAAATAATTGCACAAGACTAAAATACTCTTATTCAATACGTATTGGGAAGGAAAAGGATATGAAAAATACTTAACCTCCACCTAATCTAATGCAATGAAAAGTTAAGGGTAAATTTTGAAGAAAAAATATTAATTATGCTTTAATTTCATTAAACGACATATATTATGGAACAAAAAAAATTATGTAAAACGACAGATATTTAGGAACGGAAAGAGTAAGTTATCCTTGGAGTTAGTATCGGTTAATATTTACTCAAAAAATGAAATCCAATACATTTATATAATTATTTATTTATTGAAGAGTATTATAAAGTGACAATTCATTATATTAAATATTTAATTTTAGTGAGAGTGTTCATGGTGAAAGGAAAACCGGGAAACAATTTGGAACGTAGCTTGTGAAGGTGGGATTGGACGGGCAATGTCTGGTAAACACGCAGTAAATATCACCGGCTACATGGGTGGTTGTGCCGCGGACGTTCGGCAATATACCGGCAGCTCGATACCCAAGGTTGTTGCTTTCCCGGTAGCAAGAAACGGGGTTTCGGCTTCCTCTTCCTCTTCCTCGTTGGTTGTTGTACGGTAATTATGTGAGTCCCATTGTTTACTGTCTCAATTAAGCCTTACAGCTGGTTACCACCTTTCATTGTCGACACGTGTGTGATTATAATTCAATTGAGGGTTAGATTAAAGGTGTGTTTTGTTAACATAAATTCAACACTTAAAATAAATGTATTCAACATTTATTAATTAAGTTCGTTTGATAACTAAAATTTAAACTTTCTTATTATGTTAAGTGTTNTTATAATTCAATTGAGGGTTAGATTAAAGGTGTGTTTTGTTAACATAAATTCAACAATTAAAATAAATGTATTCAACATTTATTAATTAAGTTCGTTTGATAACTAAAATTTAAACTCTCTTATTATGTTAAGTGTTTTTTAAAAATAAGTTATAATATTAAGTATGAGATTCCTCACTTAATTTTAAAAATTGAAAGCGCTCCATAAAATTATTTTTAATAATATTTACAATATGACAATTATATCCTAAAATATTTTACAATCCTATTAAAACTATAATTAGTCGTTTCTCCAAAATTCCTAACTTATCTATTCTCCCTGTTGGTCTGTTTTTTTTTTCCTTGTCTTTTGCAACAAAAATATACAAACATAATTATAATTACACACACATAAACACACCTACTGCACACACATAATTACACACAGATATATGCATTGCACACACACATAGTTACACACACACACACATACATACCTTCACAGTGCACACACATTTTGTTAATANATAATTACACACAGATATATGCATTGCACACACACATAGTTACACACACACACACACACACATACCTTCACAGTGCACACACATTTTGTTAATAAAAATTAATTTATTGTATTTTATCAATATTATTTGATTAATTATTAGTTATTGTTCTTTTTTTATCATATGATATTGTTTACTTATTGTGTTATCAAATTTGTTATTGTTCACTTACTGTGTTATTCAAATTTTATTTATTTTGATCAAACATTTGTTAAATGTATATTACAATATAATAATAGTAATTATGATTTATATTATGATATATTTTATAAATGTTTTTAAATTAAAAAGTGAAAGGATAAATCTAAAAATTAATTTATTTTCAGACGTCAATTCTGTATAGTTATCAAACAATTTAATTAAATTCAATACTTAAATTTCAGTGGATACCAAACAATTCATAAATTCAGCATTTAATTTTTAGTTTTCAAACTTCAGACTTCAGCTGAAAAGCTTTCCACTCTTTGATATCAAAGAAAAGAGTGATGGAAAGAAAAACTAGAGGGAGAACTTTTCTCTCCTGTCGACAATTTGTTTGCACTTAAAAAGTGGGAGAAAAATAAGAAGAAGGCAGGACGATTTGACTTTTTAAGGATTATTTTACCTTTTTACCTATTACTATTAATTACTTGTAAATTAATATAAGGGGTAGAACTGTAAATTGAGCATGTATATTTTTTCTTCCTTTCATTTTTCATCTAATACCAAACGATGAAAAATATATCTTTCCTATTTTTTATTCCTCCTACCAAACAAAAAAGAGAGAAAATAACTTACTTTCTTTCAAGGATGTTTCACTTTTTCTTCCTTTCTATTTTTCATCATTCGTACCAAACGGATCATAATTAATAACAGAATATATGAGCTTGTTTTTCTTAATAAATATAAAAACTTGTTACAATTTGATTTATTTTTGTTANTTTCATCATTCGTACCAAACGGATCATAATTAATAACAGAATATATGAGCTTGTTTTTCTTAATAAATATAAAAACTTGTTACAATTTGACTTATTTTTGTTAACGAATCGAATCTATAATCAGTCGAACTCGAGCCAAGCATTTTAAGAAAACAAGCATAAAAAATTATTCACTAAACAAACTAAGTTTGAGTAGCTGGACTTGATTATCAGTCCTAATTAAGAGTTTGACTTTCCCAATTTCACAAGAATTTGAGAATTTTTTAATTCATTTTTGAATGGTTAAGATTTGTGCTCACAAAACAAATTTAGTAAATTTTATGAATTAATTAAATCTGCTTATAAGTAGAAATCGTCAACTCAATGAGAATTGAAAAT